AAAGCAGCCTCGGGTTCCTGCACCCGCTGGCCCAATGGCCCATGCCACCGCATCGGTTGCATGCCTGGGCTGGGTTCTCGACCGGACCCTGCCTTGGCCCTGCTGCCCACTGCTGATTAGGCTGTTGCGGAGCCGACCTATGCTGGGTCTCGGGGTGCCATCTCGGCATCCAACTTTGGTTCGTGCTGTTCTGTCGCTCCGGTGGGCCTTGGCGCGGTTCCTCTCTTTGCCACCTTGGTGCCCATTGTGTGTTTTGGACGGCCTGGTGGTGGAACTCGTCCCGTTGCTCTTTCTGGGTCCATTGGTCCCTCTGGTACCTTGCCGATTCACCATGCTGCGGTTCTTCTCTCTGCCACCTCTCGTTTACGGCCGGCTGACTGTGGCTCCACCTTTGTTCTGTGGCCACTTGCCTGTTAAAGGCCTCTTCCTCCTGCGCTAATTCTTCAAACTCCTCTGCTAAACCCATCACCTCCTCTAAAGATGCACAGGCGTATGGCCTTATGAACATTTTCATCCTTGGCATGCAGTTTTCGACGAGCCTCTCGATTACTTCTTTCGTGGTTTTTCCTAAAGGTTTCATTAGTGACTGAAGGTCCACCATGTACTCTTTGAAAGGCTCTCCGCGACGCTGCTTCCGTTGGCGAACTTGGTCCGCCAACTTTTCGAAGTATCCTTTCGGCAGGAAAAAATTCTCGAAGCTTGCCTTGAACCTCGCCCATGTTGGCCATTCTTCGTCGTTCATGATGAACCACCTTTGGGCCCTGCCCTGCAGTAGTTCTGGCATGGCTCTGGGGATCGTGTTTATGTCTAATCCGTATGTCTTTGCGGACCACGTTACTCGGTCCAGGAACTCTAACGGGTCCCCTGTGCCGTCGAAACGAAACGACCAGTCTCGCACCTGTCTGGCTACTTTGGCGTAATCCACCGGGGCCGGAACATACTTTCTCGACTGCGGTTCAATGCTCCTTCCCATTCTTGGATCTGGTACCGCCAGGCTCTCTATGAACTTCTCTGTTTCGCTGGCTGCTCTCTGCCTGGGGGTTGATCTTTGTCCAAACCTTTCCTCTAGGCCGTGTGTTAGCGCCAGTACCTCCTCTTCCTTGGATTCGTCGACCCACCTCGCCACTGAGGATCTCATCGCTTCCACAGTCCCGTCTGCTGGTAGACCGATCTCTCTACACACTTCGCTCAGCTCCTCCTTTCTCAATGTGTAGATCCAATTCTTTCTTCCCATCTTTCTGCTATGTTATTTTCTAGGCTAAATGCAATCACGAAGTTTGGGCGCCAGGTGTAACGAACTGTCTTTCCTGCTGCTGATCGCTACAATTTGCCGCGACTAGCTCACAGAGTTTCGCGGATCCGTTCCACCGAATTTATAGATTCGACGTGATTGCCCAAGCCCAGAAAGTAATACAAATAGCTTGAAGTTTCCACACTCTTTATTTTGAGAGCTCTTTACACTACAAAAGGCTTTCTTTCTCTTTGATTCGTTGCTCCTTCCGTTCCTGTTGGCTCCGTCGTCGGCGTCCTATGCGGGTTGGCCGGGATACGCTGCCGCTGTTCCGTCGCCGCCGTTACTCCGTCGCCGATGGTACTCCTGTCGCCGCGCTGCCAGCGATTCCGCTACCTTCTGCCCTTTGACCTTGAGAAGACACCCCCTTGGGTCGACTACGACTGATCTGACGGTTGGCTGCGGTCGCTCGCCTCCGCTACACCGGGACACCGTGCATACGCTCCGGTGCCAGGTTTGGGAGTTTGTTTGCTGACTGCCGCCTTCGCTACACCGGGACACCGTGCATACGCTCCGGCGCCAGGTTTGGAAGTTGCCGTGTGACGTCTCCGCTACACCGGGACACCGTGCATACGCTCCGGTGCCAGGTTTGGAAGCCGCCGTGTGCCTCATCTTATCGTCGCGCACCCGCTACACCGGGACACCGTGCATACGCTCCGGCGGACCCGAGTTTGTAGTGGCGGGGCTGGTGACCAGGGTGTTCTCACTTGGTCTGTGACTTGGACGCGAGTCCTTGAGTCGGCCGATCCGTGTTTCGCAGGACCACGCCTGTTGGTTGCGATTCCAGGAGTCGGTAAGGCGAACGCCAGACTTTATCCCTTCTTCACTTCCTCGCAATGCTACCTGCCGTGTTCGGGAATGGCTCAACTCGACTCTGACGCCTCGGGCTTGTAGAGGAAACCGTCCAGCAACGGATCCTTGTCTCCCTAGTTCTGTATGTCTCGTGGTTACCGGGCGTGTGATCCCAAGTATGCCTCCTTGTTTCGCAGGACCACGCCTGTTGGTTGCGATTCCAGGAGTCGGTAAGGCATACGCCAGACTTTATCCTTTCCTCACTTCCTTGCAAGGCTACCTGCCGTGTTCGGGAGTGGCTAAACTCGGTCTCCCCACCCTGGTTCTGTCTTGTGTCTCGTCCTTTACGTCTCGTGTACACCGGGCGTGCGATCTCGAGTTGGTCTATCCTTGTCTCGCAGGACCACGCCTGTTGGTTATGATTTCAGGAGTCGGTAAGGCATACGCCAGACTTTATCCTTTCCTCACTTCCTTGCAAGGCTACCTGCCGTGTTCGGGAACGAACCAACTCGGGTTTCCGGAGGAAGGTCCAGCAATGGATCCTTTCCTTATTTTCTTAATCGCTCTCCTTGCGCTTGGCTGTCGGACTCTCCAAAGGCGGTCCTTCAACTCAAACCAACCCGAATCCTTTTAGAAACGCTCTAACCCTTGAATGGCGGACTCTCCACAGGCGGTCCTCCAACTCAACGCTACAAGCTTCCTAAAAAGACTCGTCCCGAGCCGCTCCAGTGGGCCTCCTTTTATACTGACTGGAGCGCCCGTTAATCCTCCTGGATTCTGCTCCTGCCGTTAATCCTGCTTCCAGAATCACGCCACTTTCCCGTTGGCGGGTCGCTGTCCGTGGCCCCTCGTCTCCCTCGGCCACGGATCTCTGCTGCTGGTGCGTGGTGCACCGGTGGGCTTCCAGGGCCCGTTGCATTCTTCGTCGCAACCCCCCCTCTGCTCCTTGCCGCTCACCCCGCCACACTTTCTAAGGCACGCCTGCGCATCGTGCTGACTCCCCACTGGACTACTTTCCCAACGTTGCCCCGGGACCCGTTACGTTCCACGTCGATTCCTTCTTCCCCCGGGTGGCGCCGTTTACCCTTTCACCTGCCACCGTTTCGTTCCACGTAGATTCCGTCCTCCCACGGGTAGCCCTTCGCCAGAACCCACGGTAACTGGCTTTCACCTTCCCCCCAACCCCCCGTACTGATCCTGGCGACGTTCCCTTGGGCTGCCCGGGTTGTTGACCGGTGGTTGACCCCCTTTTTCCGCCTCCTCGGCCCCCCCTTGCCCCCGGCTATCTGTCTTCGCGTGTGGGGAGACTAAATCTCCTCACAGGCTTCATCTTCTCTGAGAACCGCGGGAAAAATTGCTTGAAGTATGATGCCAAACCTATGAATTGCCTTAACTGAGTTGCAGTGGATGGTGGCGACAGAATAGTCAGGGCTTCTATCTTACTTGGATTTGGTTTAATTTCACCATCTATAATATAGAATCCCAGGTACTCTATTCCTGTGCGAAGAAAAGTGCACTTCTTTATGATATATGTAAAACCTGCTTCAGACAAATCTCTCAGCACCATGCCTAACGTTTCATATGCTTCCTCATTTGTTTCTGCTACAATCAGCACTTACAATCAGTAAGTCACCCAGGGCTCGCACTATGGCACGTTGAAAAACAGAAGATGCATTTTTTAGCCCAAATGGCATCACCAGAAATTTATACTGACCCTCTGCTGTTCTTTCTATGGTGAATCGGTATTTGATCGGTCAGAAATCAATGGCAACGGGAACTTATCGAAGAAAGTGTTTGAATTTAGTTCACGAAAATCAATGCACAGCCTGTCGCTGTCATCCTTCTGTTTAACTAATAGCATTGGACTTGCAAATGGTAAATTGCTTGGACGGATCACAATGAATTTAATCATTTGGTCTAGTTTCCCCTAACTAATAGCTTTTCATCTGCACTGAGCCGATAAGGGCGCCTTTGAACAGTTTTATTTTCGTCTATCAAACGAATTTCTAATGTTTCTGTAGTTACGCGTTTAGTTTGGATTCCATTTATAAAATTGTCTGAGTAATTTTTCAATATGTTTTTTAGTTTACATTTATCAATTTCACAATTTCAAATATTAAATTGGTCTGTTTCGACCATAACACCAAAACCAAGCTGGAATATTTCTTGTCCAATCATGATGTCATGCTTTAAATAATCGTCTAATACGACATGGAACAAAATTTCTAAATTAAATTGGGATATTTGAATCGTAGACAAAATCTGCAAATGGCACTTAACAATATTGTAGCCAATTCCTCTTAATTCCTCTTCTTGTACTCGCCGTTTCCACTAGTACTACCTTTGGGGCATTCAGAAGCAATATGTCTAGCCTCACCACTTTTGTAGCATCTTATGTTTGAACATGCGAGCAATAATAATGGCATTTTACCTGCAACTGCATTCGAGGTTTCTTCTTGTCCGAGCTTGACGAATTTTCATCGTTTTCGGTTTTGCGCTTCTTGAAAGCGTATGCCTGCAGTTGCCGCTGTAGTTCATTACGCGTCGTTACATTCGTCGTAAAAACCCAACGCAGCAAATTATTGTCAATCTGTGTCATGTGGGCTAACGCTATTCACTATTCACTATATTCACTTGGATAGTAATATCGTAACTATGCGACTGCCATATTTCGCAAAGCTTTCTCCAGATATGGGATGCCCGTTTAAAACATTAATCAGTACGGCAGCCGTTGCCTTAATGCTCACGAATCGCTGGATGAACAGTTCCTTGAATTGGGTCCAGGTGATGCCAGCAAAGCATACCTGGGACAGCCATTGCGAAGCACTGCCTTCCAGCGCTTTGCTTAGTGCTATTACTAGGGCGCTGCCTTCGAGTACATTATCTGCGAAGATGAAATCGATCGTAGTGCACCATGCTAGTTGATGCCGATCTTGAAGCCCGTGGGGCACCAGTCCACGAACTGGATGTGCCGCTTCGACTTGATGGCCGAGACAGCCGCGTTGACGTCCTTGGGCACCACATCGCCACTATAGAGCATACAACAGGCCATGAATTTACCGTTCCTCGGATCGCACTTGACCATCATGTTGGAGGATTCGAAACAGGCGTTTGTAAGCGTGGTGATGGCATGCTGCTCGTGGGCGGCCCTCTCGGCGGACATCAGGGGGGCGTACGCCACAAGCGGGAAGTGGATCCTCGGGAATGGTACCAGATTCGTCTGGAACTCATTGAGATCCACGTTCATGGAGCCGCTGAAGCGCAGCGAGGCAGTCGTCGAGCTCACTATCTGGGCAATGAGCCGGTTGAGGTTGCGGTAGGCGGGTCTGTCCACGTTCAGGCTATTGTTGCATATGTCGTATATGGCCTCGTTGTCCACCATGAACACACAGTCCGAGTGATCGATGGTGGAGTGGGTGGTGAGCAGGGCATTGAAGGGCTCCACCACCGCCGTGGAGACCTTCGGTGAGGGATAAACCGCAAAGTCCAGCTTGCATTTCTTACTGTAGTCGGTGGAGAGACGCTCCACCAGCAGCGACGTAAATCCCGACCCAGTTCCACCTCCCAGAGAGTGGAAAATGAGGAATCCCTGCAGGCTGTCGCACTGCTCGGCGATCTGTGCAGTGTCACATGCGTGGTTTTCCCATCTGACGCCGAGGCTCTTGGCACCTGCATGGCTTTTATAATTTCCATTTTGTTTTGCTCTTCCAGCGCTGCCAAATATTGAGTGGCGCTGTGCTCTTGTGGCGAAGGCAATCCCACTTCTAATGACGGATGACCGGTAGTCTCATCCATTGTCCTTTAAGTTTTTATTCTCCTTTAAGTTTATATTGTCCTTTAAGTTTCTATAATTGATGCGGCAGCACAGCGAGTTCCGGTCACGTTCGTTACCCAAGCTAGATTGAATTTACTCTCCTCGATCATTATTCTCAACCCTGCTTTCGCAGCATTCTCTCTCTCTCGAGTTGAGCCTATGTCGTCATCTCTTTCCATCTCACGACTTTCCGTAACTCGTCAACGGACCTCACTCACTAGCAGAGACTATCACCGTCTCTGCTGCTATGCCTTTCGCATTCTGTACTTCCCTCAATTTACTGTTTCCCGACATATACAACGTTTCAAAAACTCTGTACCTTGACCGAAAAAGAGCCAAAGCGAGAGCTTTGAAAAGAACGATTAGAGTGGGCTCTAATAAGAGATAAGAGAAGCAAAGCCGAGCTATACTTGGATTAAAATTAAACAAATTATTAATTTGCCTTTAAATAAATTATAGCATATGCGAAACAAAACGGTTATTGTTAAAATTGAGTAAATTTTTCCTGAATTGAAATTTTAACCCTTTCATGCCCGAATTAAAATGGGCGTGGCTAAAATTTTTGAGTATACATATAAGCTAGAGTTGACCCCAATATCAACTGACAAAAATTTCAATGTCCTAGGTGTCCTGGTTCAAGAGCTACAGGATGTTGCGTATATGCAACATTGGGCAATTGTGTTATAATTTAAATTCAAGTTGATTTTTTTTTTTTAAATGCCGTTTATTTATATTTATGAATGATAAGATACGAAACAATTTTTTTGGGGATTTTAGCACAAGTGTACATTACATTTGCTGCATTTACAGCTTGGAAATCCAGTGGTGCATACCCTACATCTTCCTCTTGTTCCCCATTCCGGCCAATGATTATAACCATCAAGCCGTAGGGATTTTGCTGGGTCTGCAACATATGCTCTTTTATAGGGGTTTGATTCAGAGCCCGAAGAAGGGACTGGTGATGATGGAGCTGGTGATGATGAAGCTGGTGATGATGGAGCTGGTGATAATGGGCATGAATTTATTGTCAAAAGGAGTGAGGATGGACGACCTCTCTTTTTGGCGACAACTGTAGTTTGACTTGCGTTCAAAAGCTCGGAAGCAACATCCAATTGGAAATTGATGAGCGGCATAAGCTTCAATTCGCCGTCTGTATGGGTTATGTCTCTACGGTACAACAACCAACTGTTTACTGAACTTGAATTTATGCACCAGTATACTATGCGCATATACCATTTATTTGAGCGGTGGTTAATTTTGTACAATTCAAGCAGCATGTCCGAAAAATCAACCCCTCCCAAGTGTTTGTTGTAACATTCAACTATACCTGGACGAGGTATAGTTATAAGCTTGTTCTCTTTGCGGCACCATCTGTTGCATTCACTCATGGGGTTCTTGCCTGCATAATTTAAAACTAATTGTACGCTCTTATTGTCGTACCAACGACAAGCAATCAAGTTGTGCGTTGCTTCATATTTGAAATGGCTTGATCCTCTTCCTCGTTTTTGAAGGGTCTTTTCACTGCTTAGAGCAAAATTTTTCAATCGGTTGCTTCTAATTGTACCAACGGCCATTGACGGTACCAACGGTACCAACGGCTATTGACGAAAACCAATTGTCAAAAAACAGTTTGAAATTTTGGTTTACTGGTAAATTGGATGATAAAGATAGCACTATATCTGATGAAATGCCCAAGCCAAAGGTCTTGCACGATCCTTCTCCAATGTACAGCGTAAAATCGTATATAATCCCACATACACCAGCTCTCGTAAACATTTTGAAACCCCACTTGTGGGGCTTCATTGGAAGGTATTGTTTTAAACTATGTTGACCTGAGAAAATAATATACTATTGTGTTATTCAGAAATGTATTTACAAATAATAAGTTACCTTTATATGTAATCCTTTGCTCATCTATACTTTGAAATTCTTCTTGCGAAATTTCATTGAATTTTTTTTTTAAGGCGTCCAACAGAGGGCGAACCTTGTGCAACTTGTCGTATTCAGGAGTTCCCTTCTGAGACTGTTTAGAGTTATCGTTCAAATGGAAAAACTGTTTAATTTTTTCAAATCTGTTTCTCGGCAATGCATTTGCAACGGCGGCTAGTTTGAAATTTGTCACCCACGCCATTCTATAACCTGGTATTTTCACAACTGCAAGGTAAATAAGTATGCCAACAAACCTTTTCATTTCAGGCACGGTGCATTTCAATTCTATGCCCTTCGTTTGCATGGCATATAGATTCGTTTCCTGACATATTTTCTCCCATAGTTCATCCGCAAAGAAAGTTTTAAAATATTCGATGGGTGTTTTTACCGCATTGTTGCATAATTCACTTTTCCAAGTGGTCTCGCTTTCCATAAACTCTGCATTTCTCCACTTCAAACTCTTCAAATCAATTTTTTCCATCACCTGTACAACGTGCTTATTTTCACTTGAATTTTCATCAATCAAACAAACATTTTCTGCTGTTATCCAAATTTTGCAAAGCTTTTTCTATAATCTCGTCCATATTTCGATCTTCTTCTTCTTCATTTTCCTCATCAGCCAAATCATCACAATCAAAGTTTGGCAAATTTTTCAATCTCAGCTTGAGTCAGACCTTTTGGGCGCATCTTATGGCGTATACAACAAAAATTTATTTTCCGAAAATTACCACAATAGACCAATGTTGCATATACGCAACACGACATTTACAAAAATATTACAAACAAAGTAATATTTTCATGCGGGGTTTTGATTTAAATACTCATTTACCTTTCTTTATAAAGTTGCTGAACTTGGTATTAGTATGATGATTTTATTATCTTTATGTTTATTTAACACTTTTCAAAAACCACTTTTTTTTGCACAATGAATTTGTCAACTACACTCTCGGGAAAATAGCTACAAACTGAACGCGTGTGCAGCTGACTACCGAAAAAATATGTATAATCTCACTCAACACATGCAGCTATTTTTCTGCGAAAGAACCAAAACAAAAATAATTGAAGTAACGGTAGATAGAGGCTCATAAATATAATGTTCCGTATATGCAACAACGTGCATGAGAGGGTTAAGTTGTTAACGATCAGTTTACAGAAAGATTTTTTGTAAAAACCCAGTTTAAAAAACCTGCCTCCCAATTTTTAGAAAAAGAGTTTAGAAAGAAAGTATTTTTCTGGTTGATAATGCGATAGCTAACCATTAAAAATACGGTAAACTTCAACTAATAAGACTTTCGTTAGATTCCAATGATAACCTTTGGTAGCTAGCACGGTACCTCAACTACAAACAATTACAATATTATGCACATATTTTTTTTATTATGACAGGTGTGGTTTTATTTAAAACTGTCCAACAGGGACAACCATAAAATATTGTGACAGATAACTTGGCTTATGTGTAACTTAAGTTAGAGGTGGAAAAATAAGAAGGGTGAGTTCTGCGCAGCCGCCGCATCTGCTCGCTGTTGTCGAGGAGAGTGGTCGCCAATTCGTTGGAGTGGTTCTGTAGTCTCTGCTTCTTCTCTGGATCTCCTCCTTCACCCATGGGAAGTGGTAGACGTAGGCCCCAGTGGCGATACGAAGGGCTCTATTTTCAAACGTCTGGATAGTCTGAATATTAGTCTTGCTGGCCGTGCCCCAAAGCTGGATCCCGTATGTCCAAATTGGCCGAATAATCGCCTTATAGATAAGGATTTTCGAAGATGTCCTTAGCTTCGACCTCCTACCCATTGGCCAATAGTACGCCTTCAATCTTACTTCACACTGCTTTCGCTTTTTGACTAGGTGAGGCTTCCAAGTAAGCCTTCTGTCTAGCGTGAAGCCCAGGTATTTTGGGTTTTCTACTTGTGGGATGGGGAAGCTGTTGAGGTGGACCGGTGGGAAATTTCCCCGATGGAAAGAAGATGTGGGGGGCGGTGGATTTATCGTTATTCACTTGAATATTCCACCTTCTCTGCCAATCGCCGAGAAGATCTAGTTGCTCCTGCATGACAGCAGCTGCCTCTGTAGCGTTGTCAGCAGCGGTCAGGAAGGCGGTATCGTCCGCACAGGTCGCTGCCATTATGTTGGGGCTCCGCAAAACTAGGAGATCGGCCGTGTAGACATTGTATAATTAAGAGCCCAGCACGCTGCTTTGGGGGACTCCGGCGCGGACCTCCTTGAGTCCGGAAGTGGCCTCTCCGCATCTGACCGAAAATTTGCGGTCCTTCAGGAACAACTTCAGTGAGAGGTAGTAAGGTCTGGGCAGGTAAGTCTTCAATTTAAGCAGGAGACCGGAGTGCCAGACACGGTCGAAGGCTTGTTATACATTCAGCATTACAGCCAGGCAGTTGTAATAGGTTCTTCAAAGGCAGGATCCCATGTAGTATATTCTTCAAAGGCTCTTTATTTGGTTTTAGGTTTTTATTGGATTCGGGGCAGCTGTTGTTGCCGCTCCGAGCTCATAGGAGTATCTGATTTTACAAATTTACTTATGAATTAAAGGAGGTCTAAGTCTCGTAGCTGCGCTGCCCAAAGCGGCAGCGGAGAGACGGTTATGTATTCTTAAATATTTATGTATGAATATATATTTATGTTATATTCGATTAGGCGGAGGTATGTGGACATGCATAAGGTCCACTCGTGTTACGTATATGCGGACATATGCACTTTTCGGCGTACAGCAAAGGCACAGCGGGCGGTTCATATTTCGGTGCACTTAGGTTTATGACCGAGACCTTGGATAACATAAACACTGCGACAAAGTGTTACAGTGTGTACCCTTTAAGTACTCTTGGTACAGTGGGTGCTCGATAAATATATATTATATTAATAGTGCATATATGGGCATATTACACAGTACTTCTTGCCATCGAAGACATCCAGGATATACTGCCTCACTCTGTGGCATTGTTCCGGGGTTCCGTGGGACCGCCTGATGCCAAACGGGTGATTGGGGATCAGACCAGCCTCGTCCAGTACTGGCAATGCTCTACTCAAAAACACTCTTTCGAGT